TGCCCTAGTTGCTGAGCTTGTCGACTTTGCTGTTCGCTGTCGTTTAGACTACGCTGCCAGTCTTGCTGCTGAGTCTGAGTCTGTCTGTCCTCCGTCTGTCGGGGGTGAGTGTGCTCTTAGCACGGACGTCCTTGAGGATTTTGAGTGTCTTGCAGCCGATGCGCCCCATCTCGTGTCCATGCTACTTGCCCCTGAGGGAGACCCGGATGCACCAGACATCCCGACTCTTCGATCGTACGCTGAGGCGATCGAGGGTCCCTACTACTCACTGTGGCAATCAGCCATGGACGCAGAGATGGCTTCCTGGAAGTCCACAGGCACCTACGTCGACGAGGTTCCCCCACCTGGGGCGAACATCGTCAGTGGCATGTGGATTTTCAGGGTGAAGCGGCCGCCGGGTTCTCCGCGTGTCTTCAAGGCTCGTTACGTTGCTCGAGGCTTCAGTCAGCGAGAGGGAGTAGACTTCTTTCAGACCTTCTCCCCCACCCCGAAGATGACCACTCTTCGGGTACTACTGCACGTTGCTGCTCAGTGTGACTACGAGCTTCACTCCCTTGACTTCAGCACAGCTTTCTTGCAGGGCAGTCTACACGAGGAGATCTGACTGCGCCGCCCTCCTGGCTTCACTGGGTCGTTTCCTCCTGGTACCCAGTGGAGCCTCCGGCGGCCGGTCTACGGTCTCCGCTAGGTGCCACGTGAGTGGCACGACACACTGAGGACTACTCTTGCGGCACTTGGGTTCTCTCCTTCTACTGCTGACCCGTCGCTGTTTCTACGCACCGACACTTCGCTGCCGCCGTTCTACATCCTCGTGTACGTCGACGACTTGGTCTTTGCCACAGCTGACACTGAGTCTCTCGCCCACGTGAAGTCCGAGCTGCAAAAGAGACACACGTGCACAGACCTGGGTGAACTGCGCAGCTACCTTGGCTTGCAGATCACCCGGGACAGAGCACGCCGCACCATTACCCTGACTCAGTCACACATGGTGCAGCAGGTCCTTCAGCGCTTCGGCTTCACCTGGTCCTCAGCAAAGGCCACTCCTCGGGCTATAGGTCACTCGCTCTCAGCTCTGCCTTCGGATGAGTGCGTAGAGTCGAGTGGTCCTTACCCAGAGTTAGTTGGTTGCCTCATGTACCTGATGACTTGCACTCGTCCTGACCTAGCATACCCTCTTGGCCTTCTGGCTCGCTACGTGGCTCCTGGTCGTCACCGAAAGGTGCACTGGGATGCTGCAAAGAGGGTATTGCGCTACTTGTGCAGTACATCAGGCATGGGGCTCGTGCTTGGAGGAGGGAGCTCAGTTGTTCTCACTGGGCACTCAGACGCTTCTTGGGTTGACGACCAGGCTACTCAGCGGTCGTCACAGGGTTACACCTTCAGCCTTGGCTCTGGTTCAGTTTCGTGGCGCTCTACTCGTTCGTCTTCAGTTCTCAGCTCCAGTTGTGAGGCTGAGATCTACGCCACAGCCATGGCTGCACAGGAGTTACGCTGGCTCACCTACCTGCTGACCGACCTTGGAGAGCGGCCTAGTTCTCCTCCAGTGCTGTACGTCGACAACAAGGCTGCCATTGCCTTGTGTGAGGAGCACAGACTGGAGCACAGAACGAAGCACATCGCTCTCCGTTACTTCCTTGCTCGTGAGCTGCAGCAGCGTGGCCAGCTTCGTCTGCGCTACGTGGCCTCTCAGGGCAACACCGCTGATATATTCACCAAGGCAGTTCAGCCTGGTGATCATCAGCGCTTCTGTACTTTGTTGGGGCTAGTGCCCACTTTGCCCCACTTGTTGTAGGCTTTGCCTGTACTGTGATCTCTATATATACTCCTGCCTGTTTGTTCTGCTAGGTTGAGATCACCTTTGCTGTCTGCACTACTTATATATACTTCTGCATGTGAACTGGCCTTGTGGCCCTTTGCTTGTGCTCGGAGTGTGTGGTGACGTTGTGATCCACCCTGAGCTTGCTTGCCTTTCTTGACTGGTCTTGTGACCCCTTGTTCTCCCCCACTTTGCCTATGGGGGTGTGTCAAACACTATATGTGTTCTTATTGTGTAGGCTATAGTGGGTTAGCCTTTAGGGGGTACACAAAGTTAGGGTTTCCTACTTGTACTCCAACTTTCATAGTGCAATCACTTCTTCTTCGTAACAATGCCAGCGCTGCAACAGGGCGGCCTGCCAGCGCTGCATTCGCAGGCAAATATCTGCGCAGGTGTGCACCTGCCGAGTAGGTGCAGGTAGACGGTTATACCGTCAGAGACATTGCGCAGGTGCCAGGTAGAAAACGCTTTGACGGTTTCGTCAGATGTCCACCGTCAAGCACGTGATGCCATTTCGCAGGTCGAATTTTTGCTAAGAACCACCTGAGCGAATTTCGCATACCTTTGCAGAGTTTCGTAGTCGCGCAAATTCGGCCAGACAGTTCACCGAGATGAGATTCGCCGAACAGCGTCCTTCGATCAGAGAACGGGGCTCCTCGGAAAGCACCCCGTCCGTTAGAGATCGCGCGAATCACTAGCAGATTAGAGGACGAGCTTGTCGAACAGCACCCCGTCGATCAGAACTCGTTGATGGGCTGGTGAATCAGAGGACCACCTCCTCGAAAACCCACCGCGGTTTCTGAGGACGGGCTGATTCAATGTGACGATCACTTCGTCGAATTCACCACGTCGTCGCAAAGAATGTCTGCGCCCAAGCGAGGGTGAGGCCTTTCTTTCCGACAGTTGGGACTGTGGTTGGGAAATGTCGAGGCGGAGGCCCGGAGCGCGGGTTACCAGCCGAGCCGTGAGGTCGGGGTGCGACTTGCGAAGGTGGCGGGAGGATTGTCGAAGCGAGGGTTGCGAGTGGTAACGGTGTTGACTGTGATGCTGTAGTGATGTACGCGCTAAGCATGGATGCGGCGTAAGAGCGTGTCCGAAGTGAAGCGTCGAATGGATGTCGATGGATGTCGGTAAATGTCAACCCTCGGATCGAGAGTTCCAACCGTCAGGATTTACCGACATCGGATGTCAACGGATGTCGACTTCACTTCGGACCCGCCCTAAGGAAATGGAAAATTTTTGCACATTCTAACATCCCCTAATCCGCCTACCAACGCAACACCACCCTGCCTGCCTACCCACCCACCCCCCATTATGGCGAACCCCGATCTGGACGAGTGGCCCGAAATGAGTACAACTAAGCAGGGCTTGGAGTGAGTCTGGCGCGCAGTGCAACGAACACTGGCGGTACCAAAGGCCCTGGTACACACACACACACACAGCAGCCCAGGGAAAATTCGAATTCCCCGCAATGTACTGTATTGTCATCATCACCACCCATGAAAACCGGACGCCATTTATGGTATTGGATACTAAACAGTGCTTCTCATTTCAATTCCAGGCACACGCGACAGATCATGCATAGGCTTGCAAGGGACCACATGGGACACTCATGGGTCTCGATTCTCAATGTTACGCGGGCGAAACCGGCATGTTAGTTGTCAGCGTCGCACTACAGTGGAATTGTCGCACAAGTTGTGCGAAACCGGCATTTCAGCAGTTGTCCGTGTCGCATAGCACTAGTGGATGCGTCGCACCGCAAACTTCCAATCTCTGCTGCTCGTAACGATCTACAGTAGGGAGAGAAGAGAGCGAGAGAGGGGGCGATAGGATGAGAGAGAGAGGGAGAAACAGCCTAGTACACCCTGTTTCGCGCTAGCAGAGCATCTGGTTGCAGAACATGCACTGGTTGTAGAACGTCACCACGTTTGAAATGGTCTTATCACCGACGGTACAAGCACATTCACAAGAAAGCGGTTAGCTAGGATGCTGCATGGTAAAGAACATTAACCAAGCGTTTCAAAGCGGTTGAAAAGGGTATACAGCGATAAAGAAAAATTTTGCCCCCAGTACCACTCCGTCAGCTGGTGCGGCTTTGCCCGCAGGTTTCAGCCATACGGTTTATGGCACCTGACCGCACTGTAGCAGCGAATCGCGCAAGGTGAGAGGGTCGAGAAACAGGGTGTAGTATATCTCAACGGAATGTAGCAGAACGGAGCCCTGGCAAAACGGAGCGTCACCCCCGATTCCGTTGAGAGATACAGAGGAATGCGGGAGAGGGGAGCTAGGGTTTTGAAAGCCAGGTTGGCATGTTGATAGATGGCTGGCCGACAGTTAGTGGTGGTGAGGCGAGGAGAAACCACCGCACAAGGTTACGCGCCGGAAGCTCCAGCATGCAGCTCACTTCGCGGCTTTCGACGAATTCGGAGCGTGTCTCTTGCGGAGTTCAGAATTCTCTCAGTCCTAAAAGCCAACCTGGCAACACGCCTGCTGAGCTGTGCGTCGCATTTATGGCGAAACTCAGTCCCAACTTGGGAACCATCCACCATTCGAAACTCGAATTCGCCGACCGAACGGGCTGGCAGGACGATTCAATTCGTCGTGCAAACTTGAAGGTGACACCTGTCGATGCCAGCTACACTGGGATGAGGAACGTGCCGCGCCTTACGCTCCACACTCCACAGCGTTGGTCCGGTTACTACCGGGAGAGAAAGAGAGAGAGAGATAGAGAGACTTGTTTTTCGGAGGAAGAGCCGTCTCCAGTTCTCATTGGAAGCATAGTAGTTTGGAAGCATCCATCTTCTGTCAGAGTCATCCCGCCCCTCTTATTCGGAGGCATTTCTCACGCCGTGAGAGGCAGTCAAGCATGATGGCACATCGATAACTTTCTCCTGCCAGGATAGTAGTGAGTTGTACCGTGACATCAGGCCGAGATCCAGTAGTAGTAGAGCTGCTACTTGGTTGTTTGGAAAGCCTTTCCACTTCTTGATCGCATCGCGGGAAAGGCAAGGTCGGAAGTGACGTTTAATGTGATTTACACACGTCACATTCCGGTGTACAAAGCTCAGCCACGCAAGTCTTCCGAGGAGAGCCGAAGCTTTTGTGTGTAACACAAGTGCGCCATCCGGTGCTGTAGCACACAAACCGCGTGGATACCACATTATCGAAGGCGCGCACAGCCGCCATGGAAAATTGTGAGTATATCGAGTTCGGCCTCCCAGGATCCGTGCTGTACCGGGGCTTTCTCCTGTCCGACCCTCCCACTTCCGCAAAGTCGACTTCCATCATCCAATCTGGGCGAAGTCAGGACGACACCGTGATTCTGCATCCAATCTCCACGTGGAATGACGTTCCAATTCGGCCTGCTGACTCAGCTTCATCATCAGATGACGGTAGCGGCCTTGCTGGAACATCTCAGCCGTCAATCAACCAGCTTCCTATTGGCAAGAGAAGTTGTGCAACGGCAGCCGCGGCTGTGAATGGGCTTATGGCGGGCGACAGCATTGCTATGGTTTGCTGCACACCCCGTAACTCGTGGGTGCAAATCGAGGCAGCTTATAACGAGGCGTGTCACCCTCTGCGCGTTCGCCAGGTGGACGGGTTACCCGCTCATTACAGTCACAATCTCGATTGGAACCTCGGGATCATCCCGCAGACGTGCTCCTGCCGCCAAGGGGACAACGTCAGAGGGGATCTTCAGTCCCAATCTGGCAATGGCAAGTCGTGCGACAACGCGGGTGACAATGAGTGTGACAAGGCGTGCGACGGCGCGTGCGACCAGCACGCACCATTGGAGGTGATCGAAATCGGGAGCGGGGAGGCTCGAGTGGGGCAGGTGTATCTGGTGAAGCCGCTGCTCGCGTTCCTTGTTGTCAGTCCCGATCTGAAATCCTCCTGGAAGATCGTGGCCGTTGATTCGTCGGATCCGATGGCTGCGGCGCTGCTGGATTCGCTAAGTGGTTACCCGGTTTGGCTGGAGGCGAAGCTGCTCCAAATCGTGGAGTGGCTGAAATACTACAAGTGTAACACCGTGTGTAAGTGGAGCCTCCTCTCTGGGACGTCTGCACTGCGCACCTCATATCACCTCTCCTCACCCCCACCTCATTCCAACCTTACCTCACATCATCTCATTTCACTTCACTCGTCGCTTCACTATCTGTTTTACTTTTACACAACTCCCTAGCACCCCTCGCTCCCTGCGTCTGACCTTACTCGCTCATTCACCTTTCCCCCTCTTCTCTCCCCTCTGTTTTTCCCTCTTCTCACCCATCCCTGTTCTTCCCCCCAGTCGATCCGCCGAGCACCATCGCGGGTCGTGAGAAGCCAGTGCCCTTGCATCGCACCATCGCCGCCATCAGCGCCGCCCATGCTGCCTGGACGCACTGCCGCCGCCGCCGCCGCAGCAGTATTGCCAAGAACACCAACACTAGCGGCAGCATTTCCAGTGACGGCCTTCCATTGAAGGATCTGAGGCAACTCGCGGAACGAACGGCCTTCGCTGCTCTCACCAACGCCATCTCTGAATTCGCCTGCGTGCCCTTCGCCCAACCTGCCTCCGTAGCTGCCGCATCCACGACTGCTGCTGGTGCTGCTGCTGGTTCTACTCCTGTTGGGGAGCAACGGCAGCAGCAGCGGCAGCCGGAGAAGCTGCGGCAGCAGCAGGGGAAGCAGCAGGAAAGGAACCCGACAAGGCACTTGCGATCGTCCTCGTCCGGTGCTCTTGAGATCTTCTCCGGAATGCTGCTGGAATCTCCCTCCCCCTTACGTCGCTCCCCCTCTCCCTCCCCCTTGCATCAATCCCCTCAACCCTTGCATGACGGCTCCTCTTCCCTCCTCCGACAACCCCGCACCCCCTCCCCTGTGTCTCGCTCCGCCTCTGCTTTCCAGCGCCAGCCTCTCACGGCCTCCCTCCTTCCGCCTCAAGAGACAATCAAAGAGGCGGGTCAAGAGGCGGGTGGATTGGAGATTCAAGCGATTGGAATGAGAGGCAATCACAGGCGGTCACGCAGCAGCAGCAGCATCTTCAGCTTCAGCGACACCGGCACAGGCAATGAGAATATCAACAGAACCAGCACCAGCAGCAGCAGCAGCAACAGAGGGATAGGAAGATCGCCTTCCCGTCACGTCCTCATTCCCCCACCTCTTCCAGGCGCCTCACCCTCAACGCCTCAACCAGCAGTCCCCTCCTGCCCCAGTTTCTCTTTCCCTCCCTTGAACCCCCCCCCTGGTATGCCTTCTCCCCTGCCCTCTCCCCTGCCCTCTCCCCGGCCTTCTCCCCTGCCCTCTCCCCTGCCCTCTCCCGTGCCCTCTCCCCTGCCCTCTCCCCGGCCTTCTCCCCTGCCCTTTGATACGAGCTCTGGCTCCGATAACTTAGCCAGACGAGGGAAGTACGATATCCACCGGTCTGTATCCGCCCACACCGAACAGGGGGTCCAGGAACCCGCTGGGAAGGCCAAAATCTTTGAGAGGTCGGAAACTTTTGAGAAATCTGAAAGCTCTGAGAAGTGCGGGACGGACCTGCTGCTGCTGGACACACCAGAAGAGCGCATCCCATTGCCACAGGCTCACAGGGCAGAAGCCCAACAGCCGACAACGCCCAAGTCGCCCAAAACGGGCAAAACGGCCAAAGGCGACAGCATCTTTCGCGCTGGGCTGGGGATGTTGATACCAAGGGCACGCACTGATCTTGAGCTGACGGTCCCTAGTGGGGGGACGGAGCGGCCCAGCAACCCCCCCAGAGCAGGCAGTAAGCCGCCCAAGTCCCCCATAGCAGGCAGTAGTAATCAGGGACCGGCGTTGATCCCAAGGGCACGCACTGATCTCGGGCTCATGACCGTTGGTTGTGGCGACAGCGGCAGCGGCGGAGGTGATGTTGGTGGGAGGAGCAGGATGGTGAAAGCAGTGATGAAGCTGTTTGGGAAGAGCCGGGGGAACGGGCAGAGCCAGAGTAGCATCAGCCCGCGGAACAGCAACAGCCTGCAGGGAGCATCTGAGATGGTATCTGCAGGCCATGTCTCACCTTCCCCTGATTCCCCCTCCCTACATGCTGATGCTGATGCTGATGCTGACGCTGACACCGATGTTGCTGGTGCTGCTCCTGTTGCTGGTGGTGGTGGTGCTCCTGCTGCTGCTGTTGGTGTTGCTACTTCGTCCAAACACGTGATGCCCGCTGCCTCTCCAGCTCCACAGCCTTTTGAGGCGCCTCAATTCTCGTTTGAGCACTCAATGCACGCGGCCTCTCCAACCCCACAGACTTTTGAACCGCCCCAACCTTCGTTTGAGCACCCTGCCTCTTCCCAGCTCTCGTCTCACGCTGTCTCTCCACCCCCACAGCAGCGCGGACATGGCATCCCCATCCACACTGCCCCCGTCTGCCCTGCTCCCATCCACACTGCTTCCCAATCGACTTACACGTCACCTCTACACCCAGACTCGTGTGGCATCCCCGTGCATGCCACTCCCGTTTACCCTGCTCCACCGCGTCGCCACCAACCCGGAAGCAGCAACAGCAATAGCAGCGGCAGCAGCGGCAGAAGCAGCGGCAGCAGCAGCGGCAGAAGCAGCGGCGGCAGCAGTAGCAAGAGCGCCCAGATTCTTTCAGAAGGGGACGGAGGAGGGAAACGAGGAGAGGGAGGAGCAGGGGAAGAAGCAGAGGGAGGAGGACCAAGGCAGCGGGCCTATGCCCGTGCACGTGCCCTAGAAGTGCTGCTGGAGGGATCACAGGAATCACATGAACCACAGGAATCACAGCGAGCATCAGCAGCAGCAGCGGTGGTGCAGCATGAATCCCAGGCATCACAAGAATCACATGAACCATGGCGAGCAGCAGGGGCAGCAGCACAGGAAGGGCAGGAGGCTCAGCCAAGGCCCGTGTCTCTGCTCCCTCCCAAGAGCCCCAAGAGTCCCAAGGTCCCTCGTGGCTCACGCGCCCGTGCACATGGCCACAGGCGCGCCCATACGTGGTCAGAACATCTAGAGCTGCTGCTGCCGGATTCACAGGAGTCACAGGAATCATTGGAATCACTGGGAGGAGCAGCACATGTGCAACGGGGAGGAGGAGGAGCAGCAGCAGCAGCAGCAGCAGCAGTGCAGCAAGAACTGCAGGCTCAACAAAGGCCCGTGTCCCCGCTCCCTCCCAAGAGCCCCAAGAGCCCCAAGAGCCCCAGGGTCCCTCGTGGCTCGCATGCCCGTGCAGGCTCACTACCCCGGCAAAGAACACCTGAGAGGCGCCGCAATGAGTGGGATGAGTCTCCTGCTGCTGCTGCTGGTGCGACCAGGGCCTGTGGTTCTTCTCACAACGTTTGGGACGTGTCTCGTGGGGATGGAAGCAACTCGTTGTTGGAATTCACATTTGAGATGTCGCCTCCCGCAGAGCCAGGCTGCAACTCGCTGGGAGGCCTGGCTGGCTCAATCAGCCGTGGCTATCATGCCGTGGAGCGGCGAGGGCGTGTGGAGTTGGAAGCCGGCCCTGGAGCAGGCCAGCCATGCACGCAACCGCCTGCTGCTGCTGCTGCTGCTGCTGCTGCTGCTGCTGCTGCTGCTGCTGCTGCTGCTGCTGCTGCTGCTGCTGCTGCTGCTGCTGCTGCTGCTGTTGCTGTTGCTGACACGTCTAGTGCTGCTGACATGGCTAGTGCTGCTGCTGCAGCTGCCGCAGGGAAAGAAGGAGATTCGTGTTCGTATGACGAGGGAGATGAGAGTAAGAGTGCTTCTAACGAAGGAGTGTGTAGTGAAACAATGTCTGTGTGTGTGTCTGGGGATGATCCCTCAGTGGATGCCCTATGTGAAGAGAATCTCGCTGGGAACGCCTCTAGGGAGAGAGCCAGCTGTAGCACTAAAGGCAGGGACAGTAGGGATTGCTTCAATGACAGCGAGGAAGGGAGCACGGGGAACGGCTGTAGCAGGGGAGCAGCACACAGGAGCCGCAGCATGGAAAGGAGCATGCAGGGCATGCGCAATTGTAGCATTTCATTTGAAAGGCCGCCAGAGAGATCCAATACGGGTGGCAGGCGGTCGCTGCACCGCCGGAGTGCCTCCGAATGCCCGTTCGAACGCGCCTTTGGCCGCGCCTCCTTTGGACGAAGCCTGCAGCGCAGCGACAGTGTGGGCAGTGGGTTCAGCGGGGGCAGCGGGGGCAGTGTGGGGAGTGTGGGCAGTGCGCGGTTGGTGTGTGAGCGCATCTTGAGTGCATGTGACGTGTCTCCTGTGCCCATCATCCTCTCCTCTCATCTGGGCAGCATGGGGCCGCCTAGACGGGCTCGCACGGCCGAGAGACCGTCGAGGCAGAGACCTGCAGAGAGCACCTGGTATGACGCGTGCAGGGCTGATTGGCGCACTGCAGAGTCGTGCAGGGGTGATTCACATACAGCAGTCCATTCTGGTTCTTACTCGACAGAAACAACTGATTGCTCTTCAGTTGCAGCAGGAGCAGCATCAAGAGCAGCAGCAGCAGCAGGAGGAGGTGTGGAAGCAGCAGAAGGAGGTGGAGGAGGTGCGCAAGCAGCAGAAGGAGTAGAAGCAGGCGGAACAGCCCCTTCTGCTGCCCCCCAGTTGCCAAGGACAGCAGAATCACCACGGCTTGGTGTGTCCAAAAGGTCCCACCAACGCACCCCCAGCTGCCCCGATTTAACAGGCCTTCCACTCCCACTGCCATCCCGCCTTGTCCAATCACAAGCTGTGAAAGACGCAGCAGCAGGAGCAGGAGTGGCGGAAGAAACAGCAGAAGAAGGGGAGGGAGGGAAGGAAGGGCAGGAGTCGCTTGAATCTCGGTTGAGGCGATGGCATGAGAGCATGGGTGTCTCATCCGCCCTCTCCCTGCCCCACGCCTCCTCCCGCCCAACCTCTCCCTCACATCCCTCTGCCAGCCTCTTTCTCCCCGGCCTGCCCCACTGGACCAAGCGGTCGCTCCCTCGCTCGCTGCGCATCTCCCGCTCGCTGCTCTCCTTTCAAGAGAGCGCCCTGCTGGAGCACCGCCAGGAGTCCGCCCTCCTGCAGGGGAGGGCTGGCAGAAACGAGAGGGGAAAAGATGGGGAAAACGAGCTATGGAGTGAGATCAACGGGGAGAGCAACGAGGGGAGCATTGAGGAGAGTAATGAGAAGCAACAAGGGAAGAGGAGCGTGCGAGTGAGAAGCGAGAGCTCTCTTTTGTCAGCAGCATCAGCAGGAGTAGCAGCGCCAGTGTCCCCTGGAGAGTCCATCCGAGCGGCCGTGGCCGTCTATTCCGCCTCTAGAGAGTTCTGGCGGCCCCCCTCCACCCCCAAGCCTGTTATGGATGGCAGAGCGAAGCAAGCCAAGCTGAGCCTCCCCAGGTACTCCCCCCCTATACCACCTATCGGGCTGGAGAAGCTAATGGAGAGTGCAGCAGGGGGAGGTGGGACTGGGGCAGGTGGGACTGGTGGGACTGGTGGGAGTGGTGGGACTGCTGGGTTTGCTGGGTTTGGTCTGTTTGGTGGTGGGAGTGGGAGTTGGGGGTTGGGAACGGGGTGGTGGGATGCCGGGGAGGGTGAGGAAAGTGGAAAAGAAGGTCAGGAGGGGAAGGAGGAGACGGGAGAGGCGGGATGGGCTGGATTTGAAGGTTTGGCGGATGTGGCATGGGGGATGGTGTGGGGGGAACGAGGGGGTGGAGGTGGGGAGGGGCCGAGCGAGGAGAAGAAAGAGGGGGGCGTGAGTGAAGGTGTGGGGGAGGCTTTGCGAGGTAAAAAAGAAGAACTAGTAGTGGGGGGAGGAGAGGAGAAAGGATTGGCTGCGGGAGAGAAGCATAGAGAGGGGGATGAGGAGGGAGACTCAGGGCAAATTGCAGAAGAGGGGGTGAAAGGAGGCGGTTGAACTAGGGTTCTGTTGAAATGGAAGTAAGATAGATAGCCTAGGGTTTTGCAATTGTGACTGAATGATAGACTAACAATGATGGTCTTAAGACTATCATGGATGTGCTTTTGTACAGGCTAATACTATATAGTGAGTTCAAGATACCGTAGTAATCAGTACAACATGTTTATATTAAACTTCCGTTATCTTATAGTGTTTTTTGTGAGATTGGAAACAAAGAATCTGCAAACAGTTTTGTACGAATGAAGGCATTAAAAAAGCTTGTTCTTTTTTTGTTCTTGCTCTTGCAAGGGGGTAAGTACTGACCGTACAACGAGCTATTTATACTCACAAATACAAAGCAATTACTAGGATCATCCTGTTCTAGTTTGGCAAATGCTGTCATATGTTATAGTTGTCAGAGGTCCAGTGGTGATCCCCGATTGATCCTAGGGAAGGGTTACAAGCACGTTGGCCTGGGGGGTTATGGGCGCACTGACCCGCTGCTTAACAAGCTCTTTTATCCCAATGGTCTAGTGGTTGGGATTCTGACATAGTATCAGAGCGAAGGTCTCGGGTTCGAATCCCGGTGTATGCACTTCGGGCATCCCAGTGCGGGGGGGTGTCAGAGGTCCACTGGTGATCCCCGATTGATCCTAGGGAAGGGTTACAGGCACGTTGGCCTGGGGGGTTATGGGCGCACTGACCCGCTACTTAACAAGCCCTTTTATCCCAATGGTCTAGTGGTTGGGATTCTGACAATAGTCTTTGTGATGTGTGTCATAACAGTTAGGGTTAGGTTATAATCTTAGTCTTGGGGTACAACGGTTAGGGTTAGGTTTATGTACCCCAACCAACATTAGTGAAATCATCATTCCGTTCTTGACATGGTATCACCTAGGTTAGGATCCTGTAGGATCCCGTTCCTCTCGTTCACGTCCGTAGCGCCCGAGCCTCTTCCGTACCTAGTGCCCGTTACGCCCGTACTGTCCCCTAGCGCCTATAGCGCTCGTCTCTCTTGTGCCCTAGCGCTCACTGCGCCTGCCGTCGCGTCGCCCCTGCTGTCCTGTCGCCCCTGTTCTCCTATCGCCCCTGCTGTACCGTCTCTCCTACTGTCCCGTCGCGTTGCGCTGTCCCGTCGCGTCGCATGCGCCGCGCCTGTCCGTCACTCCGCGTCGCGCCATCCGTCCCGTCCCTTCCCGCCGCGTCGCGCTGTCCGTCCGCGTCGCGCTGCCCATCCCGTTCCGCCGCGTCGCACCTGCCCATCTTGTCCGGTCGCGTCGCGCTGCCCGTCTCGTCACGTCGCACTACCCCTGCCCATAGCGCCGCGCCCTTCTAGTCCCACCGTGTCGCGCCCTACCCTGCGTCCCGTAGCGCCCTAGGCCTCCAACTCTGCCAGTCACACCCTACTAAGCCGCTCTAAGTGTTTAGGGTTTCGACAGCAGCACTTCCTGTCAGAATCTAGCAGCAGGAATGAATGAACTATGAAAGGGTTGGGTACAAGAATGAAACCCTAAATGGGGCTGTACCCCATATTGGCTACCCCACTACAGCCTAAACATATATAGCATATATATTCTTTGACACACCCACATAGGCAAAGTGGGGGAGAGCAAGGGATCGCAAGACCAGTCAAGAGAAGCAAAGCAAGCTCAGGGTGGATCACAACGACACCACACACACTGAGCACAAGCAAAGGGCCACAAGGCCAGTTCACATGCTGAGGTATATATGCAACAACAGCAGTACAATGATCTCTACCTAGCAGAACAAGCATGCAGGTATATATATATATATATGTCACAGTACAAGCAAAGTCTACAGCAAGTGAGGAATAGTGGGCACAAGGCTTAACAAAGTACAGAAACGCTGATGATCACAAGACAGAAGTGCCTTGGTGAATATATCAGCAGTGTTGGCCCGAGTGGCCACGTGAGCAAGACGAAGCTGACCATGCTGATGCAATTCTCGAGCCAGGAAGTAAGGCAGAGCGATGTGCTTCGTTCTGTGCTCCTGACACAAGGCAATGGCGGCCTTGTTATCAACGTACAGCACTGGAGGAGAACGAGGCCGCTCTCCCAGGTCGGCCAGCAGGTAGGTAAGCCAGCGTAACTCCTGTGCAGCCATGGCTGTGGCGTAGATCTCAGCCTCACAACTGGAGCTGAGAACTGAAGACGAGCGTGTAGAACGCCAAGAAACTGAACTAGAGCCAAGGCTGAAGGTGTAACCCTGTGACGACCGCTGCGTAGCCTGGTCGTCAACCCAAGAAGCGCCTGAGTGCCCAGTGAGGACAACATCGCTCCGTCCTCCAAGCACGAGCCCCATGCCCGATGTACTGCACAAGTAGCGTAGTACCCTCTTAGCAGCATCCATGTGCACCTTTCGGTGCCGACCAGCAGCCACGTAGCGAGCCAGAAGGCCAAGAGGGTACGCAAGGTCAGGTTGAGTGCAGGTCATCAGGTACATGAGGCAGCCCACTAGCTCTGGGTAAGGACCACTCGGCTCTACGGACTCGTCCAAGGGTGGAGCTGAGAGCGAGTGACCTGTCGCCAGAGGAGTGGCCTGTGCCGAGGACCAGGTGAAGTCGAAGCGCTGAAGGACCTGCTGCACCATGTGTGACTGAGTCAGTGGGTTGGTGCCGCGTGCTCTGTCCGGGGTGATCTGCAAGCCAAGGTAGCTGCGCAGCTCACCCAGGTTTGTGCACGTGTGTCTCTTCTGCAGCTCCGACTTCACCAGAGCGAGAGCCTCAGTGTCAGCAGTGGCAAAGACCAAGTCGTCGACGTACACGAGGATGTAGAACGGCTGGAGCAAAGTGTCGGTGCGCAGAAACAGCGATGGATCAGCAGTCGACGGAGCAAAACCAAGAGCCGCAAGTGTCGTCCTCAGTGTGTCGTGCCACTCACGCGGCGCCTGGCGGAGACCGTAGACTGGTCGCCGGAGGCTCCACTGGGTACCAGGAGGGAACGAACCAGTGAAGCCAGGTGGGCGGCGCAGCCAGATCTCCTCATGCAGGCTGCCCTATAAGAAGGTTGTGCTGAAGTCAAGAGAGTGAAGCTCGTAGTCACGCTGAGCAGCAACGTGCAGCAGCACCCGAAGAGTGGTCATCTTTGGGGTGGGGTAGAAGGTCTGGAAGAAGTCGACTCCCTCCCACTGACTGAAGCCTCGAGCAAAGTAACGAGCCTTGAAGACAGGCGGAGAACCTAGCGGCCGCTTCACCCTGAAAATCCACATGCCACTGACGATGTTCGCCCCAGGTGGGGGAACCTCGTCGACGTAGGTGCCTGTGGACTTCCACGATACCATCTCTGCGTCCATGGCTGTCTGCCACTGAGAAGAGTACTCACCCGCGATCGCCTCAGCGTGAGAGCGCGGGGACAGGATGTCTGGAGCATCTGGGTCTCCCTCAGGGGCAAGCAGCATGGACACGAGATGAGGCGCAGCGGCTGCAAGACACTCAAGGTCCTCTTGCCTGTCCTGAAGGACGTCCGTGCCAAGAGCACACTCACCCCCGACGGACGGAGGACAGACAGTCTCAGACTCAGCAACCAAACCAGTGGCGTAGTCTAGACGACAAACAGCAGCAGAGTCAACAAGCTCAGCGACTAAGGCAGACGCAGCAGCAGACTCAAACGACGGGTCAGTGACAACTGTGGCGAGCAGGCGCGTGACAGTAGGGTGAGCAGCACGGGTGCGGTGAGACTCAGGCTCAGGAACGGTAGGCAGAGAAGACGCAGGAGGGGACGGCAGGGGAACACGCTGCGGAGGAGAGGAAGGACGACAGACTACGAGGTGGGTGCCGGGGACAGCCGGCTGACGCGAACGAGGAACACGACTACCGGAACGACCAGGACGGATAGGCGAGACACGACGCGACGCAAGCTCACGACACTGAGTAAGACCCCCGGTCTGCTCAGTGTAAGGAGATGGAGCAGGCAGTGGTGAGCCAGGCTGTAACGGAAGACAAGTAGACGAAGGGAGACAAAGAACCTAGCGACGCACAGAGGCAGATGGTGGCTGAGACGACGGAGATGGTGGAGCAAGGAACAGGCGGGGCTGTGTAGCGCCACCAGCACCAGCAGCTCCATCACCCCCAGCAGCTCCAGCACTCCAGCAGCTCCAGAACCCTTAGCACCAGCTCCTCCAGGACCAGCTCCACTAGCAGCAGCACCCCCAGGCTCAGCACCTCTAGCCCCAGCAGCTCCAGTACCTCCAGTACGAGCACCTCCGGGACCAGCACCACTCCTAGCTCCAGCGACGTCAGCAGAAGTACCTCCAGCGGCAGAGCCCCGAGCTCCAGAAGCACGACCCTGATGGCGACCGTACTAGTCGTGCAGCTGCTGTGAGGTGAGAGGCACACGCGGACGAAGACGGCTACTCCAAGGAGACCGCACAACAGCAGACTCAGAACCCTCAGCGTCAGCACCCGCAGTAGCTCCTGAACCTCCAGTGCCAGCACCCGTAGCAGCTCTAGAACCTCCAGCTCCAGCACCACCAGCACCTCCGGAACCTCTAGCTCCAGCACCACCAGCAGCTCTCGAAACTCCAGCTCCAGCACCCTCACCGGCTCCAGAACCTCCAGCAGAAACAACTCCAGTAGCAGAGTCACCAGCACCAGCGCCTCCCGCAGTAGGGCCCCTAGCTCCAGCCGCGCTACGCAGACGGCTAGCGTACCACTCACTCAGCTGCTGTGGGGAGAGAGGGAGTCGACGACGAGAGCGCAGCGGCGAGGCACCAGCGGAGCGACTACGCAGATGGCCGCTCCAGGGAGACTGCTCACCAGACGCCTCAGCGTCTCCAGGTGCAGCACCCCCAGACTCAGTACGCCCAGGCACAGCACCCCCAGACTCCCGACACCCAGGCTCAGCACCTCCAGTCTCCACACCCCCAGGCTCCGCACCTCCAGGCTCCGCACCTCCAGGCTCCGCACCTCCAGGCTCCGCACCCCCAGGCTCAGCACCCCCAGGCTCCACACCCCAAGGCTCAGCACCCCGAGCAGGACCACCCTCAGCAAGACCTGAGTC